TTATGTAAGTTTGCAGAGCTTTCACCACTTCAAGAACGAACCAAATTTGAAAGACTAAAATTCCTTTTTTTAGTAATTCATAATCACGTTGAAGTAAGCTACGACAAGTACTTTGAGATCAAAACAGAAGAAAAATCAAGAGACGGACACAGTATGTGCATAATGCATCACATAACGACTGCTTCAGGTAGTTCTTTCCCTAGGGTGATACAACAGACGAATTTGTTGCCAGATCTGGTAGTGAAAACTAAATCCCTTACTGAGTTTTTAGAAGCCATAAGCTCTAGAGTTTTCTGATTCTATGCATTAAGATTGAGATGCCATGTGTAAAATATGCACTGTGTAATTAAATTACGATTTTTATTGTGTGTTTTGATAAGTTTCGACAGTGATGCTTTCTTTCCTTATTTCACTGATGAACTTTCAATTATAATACTTATATTATCTAAATTTTGATTTATGCCGTGAAACGATATGTGTTCCAGCAACAAAGCTCCTTTTTCGTATTTCTATTATGTGCATTTTTGTTTAAATATGCTTTCTGTCCACTCGTGAAATAGCCCTTCAAAAAGGACTGACAGTATCTATAAACGAAATGAAATGAATGAGAAATTCGAACTATTAGAACTTCAGGAAGGTCCCTAAGTACCACGAAATAGTCCAAAAACAGACTCGTGCATTTCTATTCCGCACAAGCAATCAAATCGACACAGCTACGTCCGAAACAGCGTTAATACCTCCAAGTAGACTCATCAGGCGACTTGGTGCGTGCCCACGCTTCACTAGGTAAATTTGCGTCTCGTAATGAGTGCCCTTAATACCAGCAGACCACAGAATAGATTATGGTTCTTTCGCATGGAGCACTTGGAAACATTCATGCAGAAAACAATGACTGTGGCGGAGGAGCAGACGACTTGTCCGGTTTTCTCCGATGCCTGTGCCCACGTAATCGATTGCCAAATTTCTGCTGATACGCATGCCTTGCTGCCGCGTGAAGACAATCGTTCTTAGTTGTGTGCATATCACAAACTAAGCTGACTCCGTCAATGCCTGGGCATTGCTGTACCTTACTCACACATAAGTCATAAAAGTGTTCCTAAAGCCCCTTGTATTTCTAACTGCACACGGCTGCAATGATAGAGAGCTGCTTATCATCATGAAGGAAACACGTCTGTGTAGCGCACTTAGCAGTCTTCCACAAAAGGCAGCATGAACGGTTGTGTGGCATGTCTCTGGGGTATGCATACCACTAGCAGCGCTAGGCCATATGGACTACTCCTCTTCTTTTCTGTCTCTTTCCGTTCTATTATTCTCCTTTTTCCCCACCCCAAGTGTAGGGTAGCCAACCGAGCCAAGCTTGGTTAACCTCCCTGCCTTTTCTCTCTATTTATCTCTCTCTCTCTCTTGCTGAAGATGCTAGTCAGAATTGAGCCGTACTGGCACATTCGCTTCCTACTGCCACCACGCCTCCGTGCATTTCTGGTTCTTATCCGTAAAGATATCCTTGCACTCTGCTGTACAAAGGCCTATTCATATATTTTTATGTGCTTCTCCACATTACACTCTAGCATTGCGGCAAAGCTACTTTTCGAACTTTAATGTTAATTTGGATCAGAATATAACAAATTCGGACGAAGATTTTCAGCATCCGAAATTTCAGATGTGTTTATATTTTGACATTTACGGGGTAGATTATTATTAACTCTGGACTCGGAGGAAGCGCGTCCCTTGTCCCTCACATGAGTTGGGCCTCCACAGAAGTTAGAGGAGTTGGAGAGGCTGAAGAAGTGCCATTTGTTTCTTTCATGATGAAAGTGATGTCGGCACTACATTGGTTGCCCAAAATCATGTAATAAATACAGTTCAGCCACTGCATTGCCTCCTTCTCTGCAACATTTTTCTGTCTAATATTGCTTCGAAACATTAGAAAAATATTAGAGAAATATTAAAAATTCTTCTATTTTATTCACACTCAAACTTCAATATTCCAATTCGCTTTGCACCCAAAAGTTTGCACATGCACGCATACACACACACAACTGCTTTGTGAAGGCCCCCTCTCCAATGAGGGGGGACTTCAAGCCCTGAGTGTAAGCCATAGAGTTGCATACAATACCTAGAGAAGAATCTGTCGCTGCGATCGTGTGCCTCCATGGGAATTATGGGAAGTACAGGCATTCGGATTGGATAGAGTTAGCTAGCGAACTGTCTAGAAACTTTTTTTCTACAGTTTCAGTTTCATTCTTCGCTAAGCGTGGGTAATGGAGTGGGGTGCAAAGAACTCAAGCAGCGCCTTTGTTGTTCAAAGATGCTGATGACCGCTAGGTCTCTTAATTTGCTGCAACGTTCGAGCTTTACGAGTCGTATTTGAGAGTTTAAACGAAGCGTCGTCCGCTCACCGCTGCGCATAGATGTAGCGTCTCATGCCAGTGCAGGATTTACAGAGAGTTCATGTTTTTTCACGAACGCATCTTGCCTAAACTCTGTTTAAATCGACTGCAAAACAATGACGAAGCTAAGTAGATGCAGCGTCACGCTCCGCCGACTCGACTTCACAACATATCAGGAGTTCATTGGAGGCAGAACACTTGGACAGACGCACCTAGCATCACAGAAGACAAACGTTAAGCATTTCTTACTAAAAGAAGGGAAGGGGGGGGGGGGGCACTTTACTTGAAACGAAATGCCAGATATTTTCATGTGTTCATAAAGAAAAATCAGTGTGATTGAGTTTTTGATGCTGATTTCAAAAATGTAATTACTGTGCCTCTAAACCAATTAGTTCTTTGAGATATCCTAAAATTACCTTTTGTTTGTCGGTATGATGACGCAAGAAATTTGTATTGCAGAGCTACTGTTGGCACATGCCTGTGTACTAATGAACATAAGCTACACAACAGTAGGAGTGCTTTTTTGATTTGATAATTTAGTAAGGTTTGTTGCACCTTGCATTTCAGTGTTGCAGACACACCCACTTTTGCTCCAATTTTTGGCAAAAATAAAATTTTTTGAAGATCTCAATCAAAAATTCACACCTACCATTGTGTAAACTTAGGATACAGCTACATGTCACAACAAAAATTACAATCATAGCTGCTCTGGAGGCAGAGATCTATCTTTTAAGCAAGTTTGCAACTGCAGCAAAATTTGAATCCCAAGAAATCAAGGAAAACACAACAAGTCCATTTTGGGCAGACAGTAGCATGGAAAAGCTGTTTATTTACAATAATTTGCAAATTCAGCTTTCTCAGTAGGCACCAGGCATGTAGTCCTTCTGTTATGTGTCACCCAAATGGCGATTTTTCAATGCCCGCTGCATGTTTTCCGCAGAGGCACACTTGCGAGCTGATGCGGTCGCCTTGGGCTCGTCTGCCGACTAGGCCGCTTATCAGTTTGGTGACGCCTATGTCAAACAAACGTGCGCGCGTAATCCACGATCCGCCGTATAATAAAGCGGTTATCCAGCTTGTCCAAATTGAGTTGTTGATGTCGCAGACCGAACTCGCGCACTCGCTCAGCAATTTCAAGGCTCCAAAAGCAGCGAGGTGTTAGTTTCCTTTTCACGTAAAATTGCCACATTTTCGAGTGGAGGCCGCAGCGCAATATGTTCATCGTTGCAGACGCATCGTTACAAGCACTGTACTTGTTGCCAGTAGCCTCCATTGCGCGGACGGCGAGCACGTTCACCGTAAACGGACTGATTTTCTGTTTGCTGACTTTTCTCAATAAACTTTTTTCAATAAAGTTTGCGTACAAATAAATAAAGCAAGTTTAAATTAAATATAAGCTCCTATGAGGTCGTTTTACACTCGGAAAAGCAGCATTGCGAATCTTAAGAACGTAATTCATCCGAAGCGGATCCGAAGCCTGTACTTCCCTTAATTTCCATGAGGGTACAAGCGCAGCAGAAAGAGCCCGCGTAGACACTAGCGCCAGATTCACCTCTAGCTATTATTTTATAAAACTTTATGATGTAAGCAAACCCACAAGTGCCGCCGCATGCGCTACAATGTATGCCCAAGAAACCTTCCCTTCGATTTCTAACGTCATTGGTATGCTCTTGCAGTCGATCATTTTAACATCTGCCACTTCAACCCACATAGCAAGCACAACGGCTCAAAGGAATTCTGTGCACAAAGTCCCTCATACCTGCCAAAAATCAGTTACGATTGTTCACATCACAGAGAGATTCTCTCTTACTTGTAGAAATGCTTCTTGAAAAAAAAAAAAGTAAGCAAAGCTTGTGTTAAGCATAAAAAACTAATTACACTTACCCCGACCGGCTAACACTTTTTGTCAATAAGCAAAGTAATGCTTCTTCAAAATCGCCGATACTTTTTGTCTCTTTTGCGCTGTCTGCTTTTACGCCGTGCCCACACATTTGAATTCTCTCAGGGCAGATCCCTCACAGCCCCTGCTGTAGGGCTCTATCATTCTTCTATATATCAAAAAGGTGCAATGCACGACCCGATGAACACACCCTTGCTCTGAACAGTAAACAGTTATTTACTTGGAACTCAGCTGATTCGAGATAAAATTGCACAAAAGCAAGGAAATTTCATAAGCTTAACACAGCTAGGTTTTGAAAATCATTTTCATGCATGTACGGAATCTACGATTTTTATTACTGCTTTTAAGCAAGGTACGCTTGAAATTCATCAATAAAAGCAATGAGATCCAAGGTTGCTCGACCATCCTTGTTTTTGCTGCTGTAGCAGGCGAACAAAAAAATATGTGCGCCTATATCACGAGAAAGCAGTGTATGCGTTATTATTCATTAATACACGAAAAATGTATTCCGTATTCTTTTTTCACAGTTACTCTCGATCCCAGACTAGTGAAACACGTGCCCTTAGCAAAGGAAGGTAGAAGAAAGCTTTCTGAATATGCTGGCTCCCTCAAAGAGCTCCTTAAAATAAGGGGACATGAAGGGCTCCTCACGTAAGATGAGTAAATGGTCTGAAGTAAGGAGCGTTTCAAAATACAGGAAGTCAGCTTGCCTTCAGCTGGGGAGACTGTCCGATCAACATCTTCCTCCAAGACTTCTTCCTTAGACTCAACTTTAGCTTCCATTTCTCTGGGTGGCACATCCTCAGGGACGTCTTCAATGATCTCCATAGGCTCCTCAGGAGCAAGGGATGGAGCAGGCAATGGCTCTGGTTGGGACTCCACCGTCTCAACTACTGGAACTTCGCAAGGTGTTTCAGAAGGCTCACTGACCAGTGGCGTTGTCATGCCTTCCACAGTCTGCTTGACAGGGGACAACACCAAGCCTGGTACACTGCGAAACCAAGATCCCTTAATTCACACAATATTGCCTTGCATAGTGTGACACATGCTAACACTACAACTGTGAAAGAATGGTAGTCTAACAATCACTAAAACATGGCATCAGCTTCTTGGTTTTGAAATGTCTACAATGAAAAATACATGCAATATATACTGGCACTGTTTAGCAAGTCATATTCCTCTTTTAAGGGGAGATGCTACTCGAAAAACGATTTTCTTTAATAAGAGTCTGAATTTAACACAAATTGGCATGCTAATAGAGTTTTTTCTCCTCTTTTCAAATATGTCATTTATTTTCATGTAGATTGCTTGGTTTTCTTTCTGTAGGTCAGATACTGCAAAATTATGGCCATTGTTATGCAACAATTCTGACCTATAAAAATTTGAGATAAAGCATGCAGATATAGCTGACTATGACCCTTTGGAACTGTAGAGTGCAAAAAACTATATAAATTTTGTGTGTAAAAAGGTGAAATACAACAATAAAATAGAAAAATTTACTATGGCTCTAGTTGCCAAGGGCTTTCAATGTTATGTAATTTTTGAAAAACATAATCAAGCAGCACTGACAATCTGAATAGATACTTGCACTCTATGGGCCTTCATCATGCTATGTGCAAAATTTCATAGAGGTATGACAATTCTAAGTATACGAACTAGCGTGTATAAGAAGCACAGATCACACAAAACTGCAAAAGGAGAAAAACGCATTTGAAAGTTTGAAACCTTTTTTTTTATCACAGAGTTATTAGAAATGCATAATCTTTGGCCATAATGTTCAACAGAACTTTGAAAAGCACTGCAAGTTACTAGAACTGTCCTACAGCATAGGTTGTGCCCTCACGGTCCTTGCGAGCACTCTCTTCTAGCCGTGCCCTTTTCACTCCACGACGACGGTGGGCCCTTGCTTCTGCTGTCAGACGCTCGGACATTCTCTTGATGCGCCTCGCATCGCGGGAATCACTGAAAGTAACTAGATCTCTAGATGGCAGTATGTTGAGCTCTTCCAGGATGTGCTCGAAAGTAGCATGACCCTTGTTGAACCACAGGATTGCCATAGCTGCGGCAGTCTCGACAACCGTTCGGGAGACAAACTTAGTTTTGGGGCAAAGTAGCCAAATTTTGCTGTTCAGGGATTCCGATGCGTGCTGGGTTTTCCCTTTGATGCATCGAGCAAAAAGCTTCTCATCTGTTAGCCGCTTATAAATGGGCAAAACAGCCAATCCCTGTGCTTTCGTCAGGAGAGGTGTGTGGCGTGGTGCAGGTTCACCAAGTGCTTCAGCACGTTGATGTTTGCACCACGACTCTGTTCCTGCAGGGCAAAACTTGTGGCTGCCAGCATTGTCACTAGAGCATGAGTGGAAGTACGAAGCCCATACTGCAGTGTACATATCCAGTACACTCCCCCTGTTGCTTGTTATGGCAATCTGATAGTATGTTTGGAGCTTCTAAATGGCTGGCTCTTTCATTTTCTGCCCTCGTGGTAATGGCACATGCAGCTTCCGTAGCGCGGTGCTAAGTCTCTTGGCCACATGATTAGTGCAGTCTTCTTTTTTTATATTGACAGCACCATAGACTTTTGACTCTGCAACTGCACTATATGCTTTGCTGTCACCGTCACTTAAGAATGTCATGAAATGCAGTGGGGTGTCGTAAGTCAATGTTCTCTGCCAAATGCACATTGCAGCCTCCGTTTTCATGGCATGGGAGGAACAGTCTGCATTTTTTTCACAGAATGGGCCATGGAATGCCTGCCACACTTCCTCGTCTGGGCCCATATCCTTGTGCCTACTGCATGTCAGGCAGTAATTTGATATGACCTCGAAATCTAAGCAGAGGCCAGTATCTAAGGAGATAACTGCGCCAATCCCGTTGTGGATTTTGTGGCCCCTCTTCTGCCAAGTGCCGTCGCACATAACAGCCACATCAGTTTCGCCTGCTACTTCTTTCGTCAACTCTCTGGATCGGCGCAAGTTTTCACTCACAGCTGCCATGGCAGCGGTGTGCACCTTCTTTGCTATCGAAAAAAATCCTCGGTGGTGCATTGGCTTTGGGAGTCCAATAATGGAGCAAAATCTCGACAATTGCTCATGCCCAATGCCGACAGCGCGTGCAGCCACCACCGCCTTCACATTTACAGCGAAACTATCTCGGGAGCTCCCACTGTCGTACCGTAGGCTCACTCGGCTGCTGCCGTCCGCCGTAACACGCAGTGACGTGTAGGAGCACGAAAGAACAGTCGCTGAGCATTCGCTGTTTTCGCAATGAAGTTCGAGGAGCGACGAAAGTCCCTTGCGCTTTTCTGCCGGCTCCCGAACGGCAAGTTTTTGAATACCGCAAGCAGGGCATGACGCACCTGCCACAAGTGCCGTCAGCAAGAGGGTGTCGCACAAAACTGTCGTTGCAGAAACCTCATCCCGCTGTCTTTCGTCTTTTTCGAAGAAGCCGAGCTTCTTTTCCGAAGCACTGACGAAAGAAAGCGCAGCATCAATCTCTTCATCGCAGCCACTGTCACTCGCGCACTCGTCGATGCCGCCGTCAGGCCTAGCACACGTAGGCGCATTCTCCTTCGTCGCCGTCGTTCAAGGCGCTTTACGCCGCCTTCCCTTGAACTTGTGCTTCGTTCGAAACTTCTGCGGTCTCACGTTGCACTTTTTCGGGCTTGTCATCGCGGAAATATGCGTTGGCGCGCAGAAAAGCAGACAGACCAAATGCCGATGGCCGCCACCAACACAGCTGACAATGACTCGGTAGCCAATGGCGATGCGGCTTAGGGTGCCGCGCGTTTCAAATCGCTCAAACCATGTGATAAAAAGGCCTCTTTTTTTTTTTTTGCCCACGTGCGAAACTGGCGGTCGTCGGAGCTGTAAGAGGAAGGCCGGACGCAGCTTTCCCAACCGATCGCGATGGCGGGCGGCACTGCGACGGGGAGCAGCGCACAGTCAAAGATGGCCAATATCGGCGCAAATTCACGAAATTTTGAGCCACCGCGATGCCTTCATACACATTTTTATGCATTTTGCGGTTCAAATTTAGTTTTAAAATTTTCACAGATGAAAGAAGAAGATTTGAAGATTACAATGCAATAAAAATCAGAAATACGAGAAATTTCGCTAAAAACGCGATTTTTCGACTCGCATCTCCCCTTAAGATGAAACTCTTTATTTGAGCGAACCCACGCTCAGGAAAATGAAAACTTAAATTACAGTAATACATGCTGTACACTGATAGCGGTGAACAGAATGTCGGCCGTGGATAATTTGATCTGTGATGAGCAGCATGGCCTTTATACATGCAACATTGAACATTCAAACCTTACAGCTGGTGTTGGTATACGCTCTCAAATAAACTAAACTGTTGGCCTTATATGTGCAGTCTAAAAAAATAATCTCAGACAAGTAAAGATTCTCCCACACTGTGTCGTGATCAGCACCGAGCGTTGCTAACAGTTTTTGACACACAGCAACATCTATCTCGTGTGAATACGAAAAAAAAGCACTTGCAGTTTGCTGCCACTTATCAATACTGTGCTGAAAAAACAGGCTTTACAGATGGCCAATGCAGAAATGTAGAAAATGCCATCAGAACTGCATTGAAATTAAAGTTGTAAATATAGTGACAATCTCCCTATATTTTAACACCAGTAGGTAACTAAGGAAGAGAAAAAAAAACAGTGGCAAACCTGGCATTATCAGTGGTCAACCTGGCATTATCAGCGGTCAACCTGGCATCATCAGCGGTCAACCTGGCATCATCAGCGGTCAACCTGGCATCATCAGCGGTCAACATGGCATCAGAGGTCAACATGACATCACCAACAGGCAACCGGGCATCATCAGCGGTCAACATGGCTTCACCAGCGGTAAACTTGGCATCATCAGCGGTAAACTTCGCATCATCAGCGGTCAACCTGGCATCATCAGCAGTAAACTTAGCATCCTCAGCGGTAAACTTGGCACCATCAGCGGTAAACTTGGCATCATCAGCGGTAAACTTGGTATCATCAGATGTGGTATCTATGCTGTTGCTGCTCTCCAGGGGCGAGAAAGTGGTCACTTGACTAGCAACTGGTGACAACACTGCTGGTGATGTAGTCAGGAATGGTAGTGAAGGAAGGCAGCCCCCAGGAGTGCTAGGGGGCAATTCCAGCAGCTTGGATAGCGTTGGGGCTGCAGAAACAGAAGGAAAACAAAGATGAAGGATAAGTCAAATGCAAACAACCAAATCTCCTCAAGTATGCAGAGGTTAGGTCGTCGTTGGATAGGTTAGGTTCGTCGGCAACTATCTTATTTTATAATTAACGGAGCGTTTACGCTACCAGATCAAGGCCACTTTATCTCCAAGTAGGCACCACCAGAAAAAAGCGTGTTTCCGAGATCTTTGAAAGCGAAAAACCTGGCTTCGTTTTTGCTGGTAAAGCATTGTCGTAGTTTACACACCAACAATTTACTTTTTTTTTTTTAACTTTTTTGAGTAGCACTATCGCGAGCGTACGCCACGTGCTTCCAGTTGTTATTGGGTTGACATTTCTGTTCAGCAAACTGGGAATGCAGTAACACGCAACAAACGGAGGAAGAGTCACACCACCCTCGCTCCCAGTTTGCTAAATGAACATAAACTACCAACTAGCCAACTTTTCAATTTTATTGGGCTGACAGACACCCACACGTGCAGCCATGCTTGTACCCCTGGAAAGGTTAAAAAGCTTCTTTGCTATGTATTCCCTTTGCAAGAATTTCTCGTTTTATAGCTGACTGATCCACTAAGTTTGCTTAAGTTATAACAAATAATGAATGCACAAACCTGTCACTACCTTTTGCTTCCAAAATGCAAAACTGCAGTTAACAGCCAATGGTCATGCAATCAAAATTGAAATCCAGCGTCACCTGAAGCCATGACGGCAAGTGTGAAACACTCTTTTTCTGTCTCTTTGGCGACACACAGCACGTGGTCTTATTACGAGCTGGCAGCTGACCAATAATCCCTCGTACACTACCTGAAGGCACGAAGTTTGCCAGAATGAATGAATGAAGGAAAGAAGTGTACACTTAAGGGCTTGCTCTCTGGGTTAGATACAATATCAATGAGATCTAACAGACAATCATGTCAAGGAAAGTATAGGGGATGTTATAATAGGTAATTGTAATGTACATGTGAAGAAAGAAAATTGGATGAAAAAATAACTAGCCGTGGCAGGAACTGAATTTGTGACCTTTGAATAACACATCTAGTTACGATTTAGTTAAATACAGAAGCACACTCTATGTAAATTTTTCATGCATTCTATTTACTTTCCAAAACAAAATAGCCTGATTATGCTAATGCTAATACAACCTAGTCCTCCATTATGTGGACAAGTTGTAGATTATGTACAGAATCGTTAGCGTCCTGGTTAATGAGTGGTTCATAAGAAACAGGTTTTAGTAGCTGGTCCTCTCTTCCCTTTATTTATTGCGCGCTTGACAAAATTTATGGTGAGGGGGAAGCATGTCTTTACATTTTACAACATGTTTGACATGTACAGTTGCCGAGATCGAAAAGCCCTGCAGTGATATATTGGAAGACTACTGGGACACCACGACTTCTCAGCCAAGTGACACTCACTGTAGAATGCATGGTATTGTTGGTATAACCTTCCCAATGAATGGCTTCTAAACTTCAGCACCCTGCATGGAATATTTTTCAAGTAGACTACAACAAATAGCACTGCAACTTAAAAAAAATTGAAAAGTCGTTCTACATGCACATACATAATTACTGTAATCAATACAGGCAACTCTAGTAAGACTGCCATCCAAGGTAAACTAGGTCATTATTACGTTTATCTGACTGTACCTCCAACAGTTATAAACTATTTTATTCCACACGGTAACTTTTGCAATATGGACATGCTGAAACTGTTAGGAAGAACTGAACCCTGCACTTGCTTCAACTACTATATTTACTCGCATAGGTGCACTTGCAATAGGTGCAACCTAGTGTGGTTGTTATTCTTTCCACACATAATAGCTGCTCCAAAAACTAGGCCGCGATCAGTAATTTTGTACCATATTTGCACAATTGCAATTCGACGCCCTCTTACTTAGAGCGATGAAAAATAAAAGAAAAAAGAATGCAGCAGCGCTGTGCAGGCTCGCCGAATGAGAAAGAAGGGCAGTTGCCTAAACGCGGAGCAACCTTTGCACCCGCGCAGGCGTGACTCCGTGCGTGTTCCACATGGAGCGTGCGATCGAGTCCTCATTAAGGGGGGAGGCTACCCTGGAGACCGAACTTTTTTATTTTTTGAGATATCTGGATGAAACTTTCAGGGGTTGTTCACTACAATAAAACTAGCACAACTGCTAAGGTTCCCGAAGCTGTGTTTCTTAGTTCCAGAGTTATTGAGGTTTAACTGGGTGCTTCACATGGGTGCCTGAGGAAGAGTCGTGAGAAATGGGGTCCATTTCTTTATATGTTTTGATCACTGCTGTGGCAGAATCAGCATAAAACTTCTCCAAAGCGGTGGCCTCTGGCTTCCTGAACGTCTCTTTCAAGTGCTTTTGAAACGTCTTGTGGTGAAGACCTCTGTAAGAGACGTTCATGGCAGGCCAAAAGTCATTCGGAGCTGTTTGCCCCTTGCCTATTTGCTTTATAGCCATTATGGCGCGGACATTTACATCGAATGCCTGCGTGTCCTTTTTGCGGGGTGATGTCCATAATTTATCGACGGTGCCACAAGAGGCGCACACGACTTCAAGTTTTGTTGCAAGTCCAAGCTTGGTGCTCTCTCGGACAGTCATAGCACCTTTCAAGCATTCTTTGCACACTGTGCAGCTGAGCACGACGTTAAAGATGTTCATTTGAACGAGCGAAAAATGTTCGCCCTCACTTGTCACTGCAGGTGCAAGAGCCGGCTGCATCAGTTGAAATTTCTTCTGCGTCGCCGGCGTAGACTCGAGTTTAGCGCGAACGGCGTCACGGCGTTTCGCATTCGCATCGATTTCTTCCTTCGTTAGGAAACGCGTCCGCAGATGAAGCGACGGTCCACTCACGCTCCATGGCGGCACCGATTCAGACGAAGTGCTGGGTCCGGCGATATCAGAAGCACTCGGTGTCACGCTCGATGGCACCGATTCAGACGAAGTGCTGGGTCCGGCGATATCAGAAGCACTCGGTGTCACACTGCATGGCATTGATTCGGAGCACATGTCGACCCCGGCGATCTCGGAAACACTCGGTGCATTTGCGGCTCCAGCCAAACTCAATGTGTCGGATTCTCGACTGGCGACAGCCGACAACACAGTTCCGTCGCTGCAAGCGTCTACGCAGTCGGCACCCGCAGCAGAATAGCGGAATTTCGATGATTGTACAAGCCGCATAGCGCGCCTCCGCGCACCGGACTTCCGCACTGACTTCGGCTTCGTTGCCGGCATCGCCCGCAACAACAAAGACGAAAGGCACAGAACTAGAGCAAAAAGAAAAAAAACAAGAGAAAATGATCGAAAAGATAGCACAAGGCGAAGAGCGGCTCGTAAGCAGATGTCTGTCGAGGCGGACGGAGCAGAGAGCAACAACGAAGCGAGTGCGCTGGACGCGCCATCGAGAGGAGCGACCGCCCCCGCTGCTGCACAGCAGCCAATGGCGGGCACGCTTTCTCCCGCGAGATATGAATGCGCTGCTCTAACCAATCAGCGCTCCGCATCGCATCGCGGGAAAACGCCAATAGCGTCTCAACTGTGCTGCCGACGCCATTTTGCAAGGCGGCGAACGAGAGAGAAAGAATTCACGGTCAAAACAACACCAAGATGGCGCGGGACGACCGCATGGTCCGGGAATGGCGTGCGCGCGAAGTTTGGTTTGATTTCGGGATTTGCGCCTGTTTTGGACGCCGCGGCGGCCTCGAAAATAGTATTTTTTTGCACTTTGCGGCTGAATTAGGTGCTGATAATTACAGAATAGGTAGTTTATGAGACATACAACCCAAAAATGTGGTTTTTCAAAAACCGACTTTTTCGCGATTTTTCGGTTTTCAAGGGCCGCGTCCCCCCTTAAGTGCCCTTTCAGTTTCCAGACCAAAAAAGCGTAGTCATTATTGCGCTTGCTAGCTTGTCTGCAAATTTAAAAGCTAACCAGCTGTTTGATGCAAGCCTTTGCTGCCACTGTGCAGACTGCCTGTCTAGATGTCTACCATGACTCACCGGATGATGTGGCAGAATGGGGAGACATCTGAAGAATTGATGAGCGTAAAACTCCATCAGCAGTTGTGGATGTGGGTGAAAAACGTTGAACTGTAGTTGACGATGTGCATGGAGACAGAGTGCATGTGGCCAGCTGTCGCGCAGCTGATTGATTGAAAAATGATGGAGTCAGATGTGACCGGGGACTGCTTTGCTGCAATGGGAAAAACACAACCATATCAATGATAAAGGGCTACAACATTTGCCTAGAAGGGTACGCTACAGTGTGAATAATGCTTGTCTAGCATGGTCAAGTGGCTGTATCACGGGTGAGACTGCCGAGACTGAATTGGGAGCAGTTTTATAGGAGCAGCAAAATTCCAATTTTGAAGCAGACAAACCTTGCTTTTGGAGCAGTTAGCGGCATTTCATATGCTGTTCTAAGAGCTTAAAAAACAAATTTTTAGCAATGTGAGAGCACAAGTGCGTATTTTAATTGGCTTATAATAATATAACAGTGAAACAGACTTTGAAAAAAGCTTTGAACAGATAATCGCCAGGCATGAACTGAACTAACATTTCTAACAAACATGTGAAATAACAAAAAAAAATAGTTCTCAATAACATGGTGTGCACAAATGCAGACGAATGACAACAGAAAAGAATAGATAGGGACAAGCGCTTGTCCCTGTCTATTCTTTTCTGTTGTGGTTTGTCCGCATTCACGCACACCAGGTTACCCAGAATTATGAACCAACTCGCCTAGCAACAAGATTTACTAAATGTTCTGAAAACTGGGTTCTACGAAAACATCTGAAAAAGAAAAATAGATCAACCCCAGAAAGAATTTGAAAATTGAGATTGCACAAGAATCGTAGTTAAGTAACTATGGACTTTCGCTTAAGAACAGTGACATGATTTAGCATACTACTGCGTTGACTTTTTGTATGTCTGTTTCTCTATCTGCTCAGATGCGTGGTTTGCATGACGTTTCCCCCTCCCCCAGTGCACTGCAAGCTTTGTTGAACAGACAACAAAAGTGTGCTGCATCACTGTTCGCAGCCACCTTGCGCTTGACTGTTTTCAAAAGCGTGGCGCGGGAGACGAAAAACCTCGCCGCACCAACAATCTCGTAAAGTGCATGCATATGGCATTAAGTGATAAGCGAATATGGTACTAGGTGATAACGCTGCTCGACGCGCGCAGCCAGGCATGATTTCTACATTGACATGTTCTAGCACCGTTCATGTAGAACTCCTTGTGATTGCCACCTGCGCCGCTCCACAAATCGTGTACGGCTCTGCGCCTCACGCATAGACCAGATTGTTGAAGGAAAAGGAAAAAAAAAGAAGAAAAAGAAAAAATGGAGGTAGGTAAGTCACACTGTGGAACGGCCTTGAACCGTCAGGCCATTCCAACGTAAAGGTAAGCCTAGAAGCTTGTGCAGCCCAGCGCAGGCACGCGGCGACGTTTCTGAAAGCGCTGGTTGCGAGTTTCGATTATGAAACGAAGCAGTGGCAAACCACCGTTAATAAAAACTGTGCCACGCGATCGCCGACGTGTCACGAGTCAAGAATACAGTCGTCCGATTTCCCGGACGCCCGAAATTCAAACATGCTTAATTTTCCGAACGCATCTGTGGCGCCGTAGAGTTCTTCATAGAGTCAATGTATTAAGAAGTCCGAAATTCCGGATGCTTATAGCCTTCGGCATTCGATTTCCCGGACTTGTTACTGTTAGTCGCCGACCCAAAGTCACCACCGACGCCGCCATTTTGGTCGTTTTCATATCCTCGAACCCACCATACTTGCCTCGCAGATATGGCCAGAAGCACTGTCGCCAACCGCCGCACCGCGCCCGCGGCTGCCGTAACCTCGAAACCGCACGTGTCACTCGTTGCCAGCCGTACCTTAGCCGCTTGGCCAAGCTAAACCTCACTGTGTTCGTTCACATGTTTTGTCAGCTCTGCGGTCGTGTCTGGGATTGATCTTTGCTGCTGCCCGTTATCTTCAGTGATCACGTTTCCCAACCTTGAATAAAAGTTTATCCAATAAAAAATAAAAGTTTATCCAATCCAATCCCAACCTTCAGCATCCACCGAGTTCCTAGCCGTTTCGTGCTGCGCTTCGAGCGGATTCGCCGTTTACAGCGATGGCACCGACCGCTCCTTCATATTTGTCCACGCCTTTGAAGCACACAATGTCCCTTGTAGGCTCACGATGGAGAAGAAAGCCGCCACCATTGAACAGGTCCAATGCGGTCGGTCGCAGGCAGAGGTGGGGAGGGAGTTCAGAATTTCGAAGAGAACTGTTTCGGACTTAATCGAAAACAAGGCGAAGATCTTGGAAGCGGCTACCGAATCAATCGGGGCTGGAAAGAAGAATGCAAGCCAGGGTGTTTACCCAAAGCTCGAGGAAAGGCTGGTCATGTGGCTCAGTGCCACGATCTCTAAGAAAATCCCGGTGTCAGGTGACATCCTGAAGCAGAACACGGAGGTTTTCGTGTTTCATATTGGCGTGAAGGACTTCAAGTTCAGCTATGGATGGCGTCGCGATTTCAAGAGCCGCAATGACTTGAAGTTTAAGAAGATGTGCGAGAAAGCGGCGCCGTATCGGGATGGAAAGCGGCAGTCCTTGCTTCAGCAGTTTCCACTTAATGATATTTTCAACTACAACGAAACTGGACTGTTCTACAAGCTGCTGCCAGAGAAATCACTTGCATTTGCTGGTGACCCCTGCCACGGTGGCAAGCACAGCAAGGAGCGGCTCACTGTCCTCGTTGGCAGCAACATGTCAGGCAGCGAGAAGCTTCCGTTACTAGTAATCGGCAAGTCGAAGTATCCAAGATGTTTCAAGGAGGCAGTGACTGCCTGTTCTCTATGAATCTAATAAGAAGGCATGGGTAACGCAGCAGTTATTCGAAGTATACGTGCGCAATCTGAACAGAAAGTTCGAGCAGAAAAATCGAAGAGTTCTGCTGTTTGTGGATAACTGCGCTGCGCATGGCCACACCAAGGACCTAAAGGCTATACAGATTGAATTTCTGCCGGCGAACACCACAACAATCCTGCAGCCGATGGACCAAGGCGTGATTCGGAACTTGAAGCATCATTACAAATGACGCGTGCTCAGCCGCATGGTGCTCTCCTCCGACAACGGTAAAAGCTACACTGTTGACCTCGCCGTCGGCATGTAGTGGAATCGTGGAAGGCGGTTACGCAAGAGACTCTGCGGAACTGTTTTCGCCACGCGGGCTTCACACTCGACGGCGAGGCGGCCGTTTCACCCCAAGTGGACAGCGTGTGTGACAAACTGCCATCCGCGGATGTTGCCTTCGATGATCTGCGCGCCGCTGGCGTGTCAATTCCTGCCGGGATAACCTTTGAGGGCTTCGCCGACACTGACAAAGACCTCGAGATATGTGCGGTCTTGATCGATGACAAAATCATTTGTCAAGCTACAGAGGGTTTGACGACTGTGACACTGAGAGCCAAGAGCCATCTCCTACACAGCCAACGTGCTCGGAGTTGACACGAGCGCTAATGACATTGTCATCGGTGTACAGCAGCAACATTATGTTGACTGAAATTGAGGCAGACATGATCGCAGGCAAGTGGAACACCGTGCAAAAGAAAATAAGCGACTTCTTTGCACCCAAGTGCTGACCTATGAGATAGCTGCAGCCACATTGTTTTTTTTTATATATATATATAAACAACTCTTTTCAGAGCCACCTAAATGATGCACTGACTAAATTGCAATGGGAATTTTGTACTCCGGCCATTACCCTCTCCGTCAGCGAAAAATATCAACAAAAAATGTGCGTTTTCACGTGCATTCATTTTTCTATACATTTTTGCAGTCCCTTGAGGGTATGGGAAATCGGAACTGCAAAGCACCGATGTGCCCGTTAATATCGTTTAAACTGATTTGAATGTGCGTTTAGTTACTAAGTGCTCACAAATCGTACAAGTTTATTTTTAATGGGTCTCTCGCCACCTGCAGACACAGATGTGCGGATTAGACATGCGATGGCTTTTTAAAGTGCAATGAAAACTCACTTGTATAAATAAATTAGTCGCTCATGAGGGTAAACCGGGAGCGTGTTGCACGCGTTCTGTCGCTCAGAGAACCCAGTTTGAGAACCCACGCACCAAAGCGTCCAGGAGACGTACATGTGGCGGCACGGTGCGAGCCGCTGCTACGCCTGCGTGCAGCCTCGACACTACTCAACCGAGCGCCGGGTGAAAAGTACACTCTCGCCTCCCAGAAGATGCAAAAACGGTCGCAATCTAGCAGCTGTCGCTGTTACGTCTTTTCGCGTGGATGCATTGTAGCTTTGTGTACCCACATACGCTTCGCATGAAGAAGGATCACTCCACGTTTACGCAACAAAATACTTGCTCACGGCAAACGCGCGCGCATAGGTGGCCACATGTAGCAGTACCCACATGAAAACCATAGCGACCCGAGGAACGAGCTACGCACAACAAAGAAGTTGAGAGTCAACCCCGCAAAGCATGTCACTCGGTTAGAATGGCCAACTCTGTGGTTTTCGCTAAGCGAAACTGGCGCCAGAACATACAGCCTAGCTAGAAGCTGCAGCGCGCTCAATGCATGGCAGCATATTTTAGCGGGGTCACGCATATTCACAACAGAACAGAAAAGATTATGGCGTTACCGTGCAGAATAAAAAAAAACCGCTTGGGCGCATCTTACTTTCTTGGTATTCATGACGCTGCTCAGAAAACCATGTAGACAACTTAACTCATTCTAGTTCACTATAATTCAGTGTTTTTTTCCATACTGAAGCCGAGGTTGGTATCAAAATTCTTGCTTTTGAGGCTGTTTTGGAGCAGCTTGGCGCAAGACAACGGAAACGTATCAGAAATGCGCAATATGTGCAGCTGTCTCACCCCTGCTACATGAGCATTTAAAATCACTTTCCAAGTTTGCTAAAAGCATGCAGCATCACTATATACTGTCCATTCAATGTTGGTCTGTGCATTTTTATTTTTCACTTCTTTCTTCAAAGAAGAACTTCTTTTTAAGAAGAATGCCAACCATGTCATTTTGAACTACCCAAGGCTGAAATGAATTTGAGAGCAAATTAACAAGCTTACCAATGCATTAACCTCTAAAGAATGTAGCCAAACAAGTGCCATTTAACTTGACAGTACAACCTTAGCAGGGGTGGAAGCAAGCTTCAGTCTTTTGGAGCAATGCAACTTAGTTTTAGAGCATATTTATAGGATCACTCATTAAAATTCACTAATGCTTATCTTTCTGGTAAACAAAAGATAATTCCAATGAGTGTCCAATACTGACGAAGCGACCATACCGCCAATACCCCCCCACCCAACACACATACACACACGCGTACAGTCGGTCTTGGGTATATTGAACTCGGATATATCGAATTACCGGCTATATCGAACACCGCAAAATCCCCTGAAAAAACACATGTAAAAGTATAGGGCAAAGGCGCGCGTATATCGAACACTTGTACGTCGAAATACTTTATATATCGAACGGTGCGCCGCGCCGGAGCCGTGACACTGATCACAAAAGGTGAACCTTGGCTTCAAGTGTCAACTTTTGTGCATAATTACCTCTTTGAGTTGATGCACTGGAAATGGCGTCAAGGAGCGGAGACCCGTAACAGATGACACTGGACTAGATGGAGTGGGGGACTTGAGCAATGAGGTTAACAGTGATGTTGAGACCGCAGGTGGTGTTGGAGGGGTACAGGACGTCACATGTGGCAAAGGCGAAACCACTTTGGGTTGTGGTGTGCACGGCCTCTCCACTTCTGGTATTTCCTGGACTTGTGGAGTCAGAGGGTCCTCCACCTAAGCACAGTAATAGTCAAATACAATTGCATTCAGCCAACAGAACTTCCAGCACAAACAAGCACGTGATTGAGTAACAGGCAACATAAATATTGTGACCAACCTGTACTGTATTGGACCACAAGGCCTCCTTTCTGTTCTTATGCTACAGTGCACTAGAATATGGGGTAGTGTGTTCAGACGCAATCATTCACATGCATCGCGTGAAGCGGCACGCGTGAATAAAAAACACGATCTGCTAGGCGGTGCTGCTGCTGCTGCATGGGCTGATGGAATAATCAGTCTGCCTTTTCAGCTGCTGTGCAGTGACTGCTGCGTATGTTCGCGCCAACCCAACTAATTTTTTTTCTTGCGATTTCTTTGCTCGCTAGTGGCCACGCTACATGGAAGCAATGCCAGGTTGTCTGCATTATTAGTCCTGCTTCACAGTAATAGTTCTGCTTCGGACTCTGAACCTGATGTAGCCAACAGTACACAGACAGCTTTACTGAAACACTTGCTCGTGCTTTGTGTGCGCTCAATTTATTGGAGCTCTCATCGCATTTCAAACCACTAAACAGTTGTTTACTGCCAGCTCATTATGGGGAAAAACGACAATATTGTATATACACGAGACAGCAGTGATTTTCTCCGGTGACTTCTTTGGGATACTGAGACAATCATGCGGATCAAACGATCATCTCACACCAACGAAATGTTTTATCAAGTGCTTGTGATTTTACAGCCTCGCAAAAGCAATCAGCTTGGGCAAAGAAGTGGCCCATGCCCCCCCCCCGCCAGGATTTTTTTCGCCATGGCATAGAGTGAAAAATGACAATTACAAGGGGAGTCCCTCCCTAATCAAGATTAAAAAAGTTTCATAACTCCACATAAAAAAATTCTATATCCTAGAAAATATGTTAATTTATAAGTATAAAATGTCATTAAAATACAAAAGGGAGCTTTAAAAATCTCTGAATTGTTTTGTATAGCAGAAATATATGCGTAACTATGAACGAAACTACATAGCTACTTGACATTTTCTCCAGGGTGGCCTCCATTTGGTTGAAGGCAAATTTGTCAGTGCATGGTTAACGTTACTTTTTGATTTGTGCAATGTATGCTTGACTTTAACACTCAAGCATAATCCACACGGGGAGTCGGTGGGGGTTGTCCCTCCTCCCCTCCCAGTCAAAATCGACCCCATACACTGACCAAGTAAAATATGCGGGGGTGGATTGCAGCAATGAACATATGCCGTTCTTAATGAGGAACTGTGTGCACACCTATGCACTCAGCTACTCACTCATTGACAAACATGCTATTAGTAAATGAAAAATGCACATTGGTAAACATGATCATCACTAGTGGTATAAATACATTCACTAAAAAATGCAAATAAACAAAAAAACGATGACTAGCAACTCGGCAAAAAAGAAAAGAGGCCCATATTCACTGATCATAAGCGCGACTGGCCACTATGGGAGTACATGCCAAAACCACAATATGATTACCAGTACAAACAACATCTCCAATACTTTTGGCATCATTGTCTGCTACTTCTCCTTAATAACGCAAAACCACAATATGATTACCAGTACAAACAACATCTCCAATACTTTTGGCATCATTGTCTGCTACTTCTCCTTAATAACACTTAATCACCCGTGGCACTCCTTGAGGTGCTGTACTACCTTTCAAAATGGCTATGGCCCCTCTACCCTCACAGCTATCCCAAATTCCTGACCTCCACCATATTTTTTATGCGAACGACGTCACTATCTGGAGTACATCTGGATCTCCCTGCCACATGCATGACACTTTACAATGTGGCCTGTTGTAAGCGATTGTGGAACAGCAAATAGCTGTTTTGGATCAGATTTGTAGCAGTTAGAACACTGTTTGAAAGAAGCTTTTTAGCTGAAAAATGCGTTGAAAATCGGCTTGGAACAGGCAAAATGGAGTTTGAGATCACTATAAGCAGTAAAGAAGTGCCGAACTTTTTAAAGGATATTAAAGCACGATATTCTGCTCTAACGTAAACAAGAACACAATGCCAACAGTCCGATAGCAGCATTAGTTTATGCGAAATGTTTGCATCCAATAATGTCGCATGCACAATTCACCACAGCACAAAAGATATTCATTGTGGGTGCATGTGCTGCATTAGTTTATGCAAAATGTTTGCATCCAATAATGTCACATGCACAATTCACCACAGCACAAAAGATGTTCATTGTGGGTGCATGTGCATTAGTGACAAGGCAACACCATTTATGTAAGTGACAGGTGTCAAAACTTTTTTCGCTCCTAGTGTTCGAAAGGGGAAGGGGGTGCGCACCTACAGTCACCCACCTCTCCCTCCATTATCACCTCTTAGATTCGCCACTGGCAGGGGTTCTCAACCTTGTTCTGCAAAAGCGGTACAGTGAAATCTCGGTAGAACGAACCCCACATTAACAAACTTTTCAGATTAACAAACTTTTAAAAATCTCACGCCGACTGCTAATAGTTTCAATGTAAAATTATTTCACTACTAAGCACTTCAGAACACCGAACTTTTCAGAATAGCGAGCATTAACTTAGGATTATGTTCTGAAATCCGTCGCGACCACCGGAGCGGTACGCAAGCAGGCGACAAAGCGAATGGACACCTTGCTTCTCGGAAAACGCGCAACGGTGTGAAGGGAAAAAAAAATTGAAGGTGACTTTTTTTCTTTTTTTGTGTGTGTTTAAACACCGATGCTGCAGGTTTATAAGCGAGCGCAGAGGCAAGGGCAACACGGGAGGGCAAGGTCAGAGAGGCAAAGTCGGAGTTGCGGAGCAGGAAGCATGGGCATGGAAAACCTGAGACAGCAAGAGAGCGAAAAACGAAACGCGAGGAATTTTCTTTTTTAGCACTTTTTCTTCGAAAGAGGTGACGACAGCCGTGACACTTCGGGTTTTTACTTGGAGGCCTTGTTTTTTCAGTCGTGTTCATCTCTTTTCAATGATTACTTATCGCGTTCGCAAAGCAAGTCGGCGTTCACGCTGCGGTGATACTACAGATGAGTTAATCTCTGCTTGCGAAGAAGAAGCGGAAGCAGTTTTCGCTAAGCGAGACAATGGATATTCTTCGGCAACTGGAAGGCAGAAGGCAGGCTGTTCTGACCAAACAACCGAATCGCACCACAGGAATCTGGATGAGCTGGAGGCCTTTGCGCTGCAAAGTTTGTGCTGCTCGCTTAAAAAAAAATCAGAGACTTCTTTAAGGTAAACGTGCATTTTTTTTTGTGTTTACTTGTGCATTTGTTTTTTTTCTCTGGAAAAACAAGTTCAAGGACCCACCGTTGTAAAGGTTGCGGGAATTGAGGCTAGCCCGCTGCCTTTGCGCGGGCTTTGCCACTTTTTCTGCCGTTCTCATGTCCCGACATGTCTCTTATCCTTTGCTGTCTGCCGCGCTGGGATAGCGGAGTGACGTTTAATCCCCTGACCCGGCAGTGAATGTTGACTGTGGTGTCGCGCGCAAAGTCTCCGGAGTGGTTTCGCGCGCTGTGTCGGGAGCGGGCAGAGAGAGACCTCTCCGGGGACGACATGGGGCAAGCACGCTTTTCTTTTCCGTCCATCAGCTCCCTGCCGGGCTCGTTCGTACTTTTCCAACAGCTTCTTGCGCCCGCGGCGAATGCTTACCTTATGTCGCCCCCCCCCCCCCCCCTTTCTTAACGCTAGGCCGAAGAGTGGTACGGTGTCCTAGTGCGTGGCCTAGCTATGCCGACCCCTCTCCCTCCGAAGCCAACGCGAGCGCCTTTGCCCTCGCTCGAGCAACCGGGCCTTGGTCCCGGTGTCTCCATGGATCACCTTTACCGCGGAGACGTGCTCGTGGCACCCTGTGTAGTACCTTTATGCCCGTGACGTGGATAAGCCTATTTGCTTTCCCACCGCGCCCTTGCAGCGGGCTGTACTGCGCTTGGTGTTGCTACAGACAATAAAGTGTTGAGACTTTGAGCAGAATCGTGTTCTCGCCACGGCGACAGTCAACGCGTGCCCTGCGGCTCGCTAAGACCGGACCCACGCTGGTGGCCGTACTCCTTCGGGATACGTGTACACCACAAGGTAAGTCATTTTGGTCAGCGAAAAATAAGTATTTATGGTTAATTTTCGAGCCTTCACTACAACGAGCTTTCAAAATAGCGAACGAATTTCCCCGGTCCCCTGAAGTTCGTTATACCAAGATTTCAGTACATTAGGTTTCTGCGAGTTCAAAGAAATAAGTCAACTGCATGCCGTCTATATCCAAATAATTTACACAGTTTACTACTTAAAGAAACAACTTCAGATTACACTTAGGATTTAACTAAACCACCACAAGCCGCATTCACACATCAGTTTTCTACGAAGAGGGAGAAACTCGCGTAGCAGCAGCACTCCATACTCGTCATTACGCGGTTAGTGGACACACGGTGGCCGCACTGAGCACGTTCACAAGTGTAGTTTTTTTAGAATTGCATGGATAGGAATCGCACAGAAAGTTTTGCAATCTGAGACTCACTTGTTTAACCTTCTTTGACAATTTACAGTGACAGTGGCTACTGAAGCAGCGTTTTATAAGAAATGCGAGCGTAGTCACGCGTTATTTCTGGCTCGCGACGCGTCAGTGTCTGCCTGGCACAGTTGCTATGCGCACTCGTTCGCCAACGCATCATGCCGGTTTTCTAATGAAGTCACACGATGAGCACTACAATACGAGCTAGTGGCAACACTTCATGCTCGCGCATATTTGTAACTCCAGAAAATGCTCCGTGTGCTGGCAACACTGGTAAAAAAACAAAGATTGCTACGCCGAACAATGTCGATGCGACACTTTTGCTTGGTGCTGTGCTGAAGTTTCTTGATTGCGACTTTGGATCATTTTGCTTCGTCGAAGGCGAAAGGATGCTGGCAGCGGATAGCCTCATTCTCATAACCATCAAAGATTTCACTGCCAAAACAGCGGAAATAGAAGCACTGTGCGCGGAAACATCGAGCCTCTTCGGGGAACCGCA